CCTATAGTCCCAGTTATTCTGGAGGCTGATGCAAGAGGATTGCTTAAGCCCACGTGTTCAGGGCTGCTGTGTCCTATGCTAATCAAGTGTCTGCACTATATTTAGCATCAATATGGTGACCTTCCAGGAGTGGGGGGCCACTAGGTTGCATGTGCTCATCAAGTGGGATCAAGCCTGTGAACAGCCAGTGCACCCGCCTGGGCAATACAGTGAGACCCTTGGAAGGGAAGGGATGTGGAAGGGAGGGGAAGGGAGGAGAAGAGGAAGGGGGGAAGGGGAAAGGGAAAGAAGCAGAATGATTTTAATCCCAGGTAATTAAAAGATAAATGAATTTTTTAAACAGTATTTTCTCCATTACTTTTTTTTTTTTTTTTACCATTACTTAAAAGATATCTGACTTAAAACATATCAACTGGAATTTTAGGGTCACTCTCAGGATCAGAGGTTGGCTCTGGCTTGGCCATGTCTCTACCTTGACTTTGGTCAACCCTGGAGTATGGCCTGAGTGTGGGCTTCAGTGTCACACAGATGCGGGCTTGAATCCTAGTTCTCCATTTGCCAGTGCTGTGACTTTGGGGATTCACTTGCCTGCTCTAAGTGCCAGTTTTTCTTCTGTAAAACAGGGATAGTGACACCTGGCTCATTATCATTGGGAGGGTTAACTACTACCAAGTAGCAGCATTTTCTTATCATCTTGAGCTCTGGCTTTCTTTTCTGGCAAATGATCACATTCATGCTCTCTGAGCCTCTAGTACCTAGGGTGTTACTAGGGGACATCAGTTCTTCACAGGGTCGCATGGGGACAGCTGAAATGATATCTAGTGCTAKAACAGGGTAAACAGTGCTGGACAGGAGTGAGTCACCTGGCTTTGTTCAGAGACCTTTGGAGGCAGGCACAGACATCTGAGAGGCTGAGGTGGGCAGAGGGAGTGGAACTCCCAGACTAAACATTTGAAAAAACAGCCTCTACCTCAGAGCAAAGCCTGTCCAAGGAAGGGACATGACCTTTGTCCATGAAAAGACCCACAGAGCACTCCTAGGCACATTCCCACCCTGCTAAGTTATTTATCTACAAATAACAGGAGAGATCTACTGCGACAGGTGTCCCTGACTCAGTCAGGCTAGGTGGGGACCCATAGCAACYCCCTAGCAACCACCAATCAGCATGAGACAGGGAAATACCTGGGATGCCAGATGACCCTCCCAGTAGTTTATGGTGGTTGATAATGTGTTGGGAAACCATGTAGTTCAGCAGGAACAACCCTCTTGGCTTAAACCAATCAGTTCATATGAATACCCCTTTTGTAGTAACCAATTACCCCTACCCAACTTGTTCCCACCAGGGAATGTGCTAATCATGTTTTAGAGTTATTTGATTTTCCCGCGGTGTGTGATGATTTGCTAAGAGATGCTATGATGGATGTGGGGGTCCCTGCCTTCTCCAAAGAATGTATAAAACTGCTGCAAACCCTGGGCTTGGGGCCTCTCAGCGTCACCAGTTGCTGTGTGTGCATGTGGAGGACCGAGCTAGCTCGCAATAAACACCTCTTTGCTGTTTATATTGATCTTGGTCTCTGGTGGTCTTTTGGAGGTCCTGAATTAGAGCATAACACATTCATCCTGCCYGCGGCAGCCCTAGGACCCGCACCACTGCCAGGTTCCTATAGATGTGCATAGGGACAAGGCAGCTGTCCTGGGCTGGGATTCCTGGAGACTTGTGTCATTCCTGTGTGGTTCTGGCTGAGGATTAAAGGGCGTGGCCTGGTGCCAGAGGCCTTGGTCCAATAGGTGGAGCTGTGTGAGGCCCTGCAGGCCACACATGGCTTCTTGCAGTAGAGTTGAAAGGGTTTCCTGGGTAGATTTCAGTGAATCGCAGTTGCATGACTGCTGAAGCCTGAACTCCATTCACCTGCTACTTGTGAACTGGAAAGCACGCCATTATAGACAAGGGAAATTCTCAGCACTAGAAGGCACTGACAGTGCTGGTACCAGAGTCTTCTGGAGAGGCTTCATCACCTCCCCTTACAGCTTCCCAGGTTCATCACCTGCTCTGCCATGGTGTCTCTCTCCTAGCCCCCACCTCCTGCCTTGGGGGACAGAATGATTTCCAGGGAGGCAGAGGTGAGTAGGGGGAGGACTGGTTGTAATGAAGCCTGTGAAGGAGCCAGAACAATCAGTAGCTGTTGGGGAATAAACCTATAAGCCAAGAGAGCGGATTGTTTGATAAAATTGAAGAGAGACGTGTGTCAATCATTTTTCTCCAAAGGACAGTGCAGGGGTTTGTGAGTTAAGCAATCTGTCCTGATGTTAGTAATAGTGTGTTTCATGAGTGCTAGGTCAGAGAGGGAAGGAGTCCTGGAACAGATCACAATTTTGGCCTGGACAGTGGGATAGGAAGCCAAGGTGGAGATGGGGACCAGGTAGCATGCGGGGCTCAGAACTGCTTCAGCTTCTTCACCCCCAGCAACAAGTGCATCTTCCCTTTTTACTGCTTTTGGGAGAAACCCACCTTAAACTTGACTTTTACAGTATCTCCCCTTATTGATTGTAGGTTGAAGGAGACACATTTGCTTTGAACTTTTCAGGGTGAGTACTGAAGGGGAAATTATAAAAAGAATGCTGTGGGCAACATGAAAGGAAAATGAACCCAGAAGGAAAAACTGTTACATTGAGGCCTGTGCCCCACTCCTCATGGTTCTTGTGTGAAGATTAAGAGCAATGGTGGAGCTTGCTGATGAGTCCAAGGCTGCAGGGTGAGGCCCAAGAAGTCCATGGGGTAGCTGGACCTTTAGAGTCATTCCAGGCTCAGGGATGTGGAACCCTGGGACAGCCCTTCTAAAATCCTACAGGAACAAGGGGGACACAAAAGCACAGAAGGCACAAGTCCTGACTTCCTGGGTCATCAGTTTTATCTCATGGCAACTAATTTAAAATTGTGTGTACACTAAAGGAAACACAGAGCACATCACAAATTTCACATTCACTTTTTAAAAATAAGGCAGTTTTAAAAAATAATTACAGGCTACATTGCCCTTCCAGACCATCCCTCCCAAACCCAGCTCCCACTTGTTCTCATCTAGGGTTAGGGCTATTTCAGGGGGAAAGATTGAGATTCACTGCCCTAGGGTGGGACTCAAATGCCCTGTGTCTTAAAAAATGAAAAGAAAAAAAAAAAAAAGGAAAAAGAAAAAAATTGACAAGTGTTCCCAATGAAGAAAGATGGTTTATAAACTTTTACAGCTACACACAAAACCTCCTGCTAAATGGGTGCTGCAAGTATGTAGTCAGCAAAAGGCTAGAGGGGCACTTAGTCAAGGCAAAACCAAGAATAACAACCTACAAGTGTGCCAGGGAGGTGAACATGCTCAGGAATACAAAGAACCTACCCCTTTCCAAGGCAGCCAGTGCTTTAGAAGTTAACATTTGACTTCAAGGTCATTCGTYAAGGCTGGGCAGAGGTGAGAACATGAATGCCCTGCTCCTCCCAGTGCTGTCTGCTTGTGAACTAGTCTGTCATCGGTCCATTCTAATTTCAGGCTTAGGGCCTGCACCCTAATTTCTACTATGTAGGGTTCCCTTACATACTCAGAATGGTAGGCCACAACCAGATACTTCCTCAATCTTCCASACTCAGCAGCAGAGTAGAGGATGACCAGGAGGACACTGCAAGGCCTCTCAAACCCACCTTCCAAAGCCCCATGTCCAGGTGAGCAATCTCCAGGGGTCTGGGAGACACCTACCTTCAGCATAAATATTTCTCCAGGTTTCCTGTTTTAATCTATAATCGATGTGCACTTGATATTTCACAACTGTGTGCTGGAAYGAAACGTTTCTGTCCCTCTGCATGAAGTTGGTTCTTCAGAGCCATTGTTGCAGCAGCCCGTGAGAGCACAGCCTTACTCTGTGTGCCATGGCAAGGGCAAGCACCCTCCAGTCTACTCTCTTAGGTAATGAGATGGAGGCTGGCTTCCCACACCAGATGGAAGAAGCAGGCTCTCAGAGGGAAAGTGATTTGCCCGAGTTTGTGGGGAACTGGGGGTAGGGGGCTGGGGGAGCAGCTCCCTCCTCATGTGCTTCCACTCCTCACCACAAGCTCCTACTATAACCCCTCCACCCCTTCAAACATAAAAATCAATAGTCCCAGCCGGGTGCAATGTGGTGCATGCATGTAATCCCAGCAACTCAGAAGGCTGAGGCAGGAGGATCATGAGTTCAAAGCCAGCTTCAACACCTTACTGAGGCACTTAGCAACTCAGTGATACCCTGTCTCTAAATAAAATATAAAAATGGGGGCCGGCATTGTGGCTCAGTAGTAGAGCACTTGCCTAGCATGCATGAGACACTGGGTTCGATCCCTGGCACCACATAAAAATAAAATAAAGATATTGTATCCATCTACAACAACAAAAAAAATTATATATATATATATATATATGGGCTGGGAATGTGGCTCAGTGATTAATCATCTCTGGTTTCAATCCCCAGTACCAAAACAAACAAAAAAAACCCAACAGCCCCCTTGGGCAGCACTCAAATGAAGGCCAAGTGCTTCCCCAACACCCTCATAAGCAGCCTGCAGTTGAGCACTCTGGTGGGGCAGCCCACAGCAGGCAAGTAGTCCCAGAATCTAAGTGTTAGCTCTAGGCAACTCTATCTGTGGCAGAATGGGATAGGCAAAACCAGGAAATCTGGCTTTGCCTATAATTGGCTGTGACATAYGAAGTTCTTTTCACTTTCTGGGCTTTGGTATCTCCATCTAGACAATGAATAGGGGATTAGGTGATTTCTATGCTTTGGGTACATTAGAGCTTTCCACTCTAAGATTCTAGATTGCTACCCCCAGGACCCTCTTGTGCCCCTTCCCTTTTCTGAAAGAAAAAAAAAGTTCAATACTGCTCATTTCCCCTTTTAAAAAATAAAATCCAAATCAACATTGTAAGGTGCTAGCTTTTCAGACGAGGCAGCTGCAGTCTCCATCACTCTCTGTTCATTTCCTTCTTTCTGTGACATACTGGTTGAGAGAAGCAAAGGCCACTAGGACCTAGAGCTGGTGGACCCAAGAGGCCTCTGACACATCGTGATAACTGGTTCAAATCAGACCCAACCTGAGGGTTTYGCTCATCAAAGGTCCCCTTCCGCACTAACAGGCATTCAGCATTCAGTGTTTCATGTCTGAGTCACCTAGAAAAATGGTTTGAGGCACCACTCAACCATTCCAAAGAGCAATATTGGAATTAAGGGCTGCCTGCTTGCTGGGGGTCCTGATATCATACCTTTCTGCAGGTGGGGGTACCTGGGGGAAGCAGCCAAAGAATTCTACCCCAATGACTCCATAGGGATCCCTATGGTAGGTGAGGCCTCAGGTCAGGAAGCAGAACTAGGCTAGAATACTGGCTCCATGGGAAGCCACTTAGCCTTCTCTGGGCCAGATTTCTCCATTGTGCCACCTCTGCAGGCTGTTACAACAAGTTAAGCACTCTACACAGCGCCCAGGGTACTGGAATTACTCGGCAAATGCTTTACCCTGACGGGTTCTCTTCAAGGCTAGGCAGCTGGGATGGGGTTGAGATGCAGATGTGCTCTAGGTCCCACCTGTGGCAGAGTTATGCACCTGCATAGCCTGGGGTTCCCCCACATCCCTGGTCAGAGCTAATGGCAGGAGAGTYCCCTTTTCAAACTTATAACTCTGGGCTTCAGTTTCCTCATATTTAAAATACAAGTTCATAAAATGATAATCAAGGACTGCCTGGAATTCCCTTGTAGTCTTTCCCAGACAGCGAGGCCTGTGGAGTGTGAATGAGAACGAAACAGGCACAGGGAGGGGAGGTGTAAGGGGGCTGTTTCTCTTTCCTTGGGTTGGTCAAAATCAGAGGCTCACAAGATGCTGGGGCCAGAAGGCACCAAAGGCCACAGCATGGAAAACAACTTTCCAGAGCTAACAGGCCAAGGAGCACATACTGAGTTTGCAGCAGTTTGGGATGAAACCCAGATCTCCAGACAGGTTTAAGGAATATCTTAAAAGTTTCAGAAAATATAGTACTTAGTTCTGGTTTGAGCCAGCTCACTGGTTTCTCTTCTTCGAAGCTTATGATTCATAAGCTAGATAATCTATCATGACAATCTAGTTTATGATTCAGAAATACTATGGTTGTAAATCCCTGCCTTTTGAATTCATGATTTAGCTCTAGTACTGCTGAGAGGGCTGGGGTCAGTGACACTCAGGCCTGTGGGGACTGGGTCACACCATCCTGCAGGTAGTGGGGAAAAAAGGAGCTSGGTGTCCTTTTGCCTTCTATGGTAACAGCTGCCCTGGAGGGTCAGTAGGGAAAGGGCAGGGTAAGGCCTTGGGGACAGGGCTTTCAAGGCCCACCAGCCCATGTGGCCTCAGCCTCAGGGAGAAGAAGGTGAAGAGAGAACACTGGGTGGTAGCAGAGGCCCCATGAAAGGCTCAGTTGGTTTCATTGATGGGAGTCCGGTTGCCATCTAGCAGTCTTTCACGCTCGGCCTCCGGGGCAGGGTGCCAGCCCCTGGACAGGCAGGCCAGCAGTGGGCGGTGCAGCCCATTGTAGAGGGCAGTGCCTGTCAAGAGGATGAGGAAGCCAAGGATCTGCAGAGGGTGGAAGGTCTCCCATCCCAGGGCCAGGCTCAAGGCCCAGATAACCACGGTGCGCAAACTGTCCAGCACCATGCGGGTGGTGGCACTCAATTCTTTAGTTACACTGATGCCTGCGAAGTTGAAGAAGGCAATGCTGCTGATGTTGCCCAGCAAAGCCAGGGCGATTAATGGTTGTTTGCCCAGCTGGCAGAAGGCATCCAGGGCATCCTCTAGTGTCCCCTTGGGGTTTCCACTGAAGGAGCCGGCAGGGATGTAGTACATGGGCACCAGGAGCAGGGAGAGGATCACAAAACCGAAGAGGCCTGAAGGGGTGAGGACGCACGTCACAAACTCTGCCTTGCCCACCACCTCCCAGTTTAGCCCACATGCACTGCCTTTTGGCTCCTGTCGCCCATTCCTGGGATCTGTCTCTTCACCTCTCTTCAGGAACTTTGGGCCTATGCAGTGGGCTCTGGCTGCCTCCTCTCCACCTTAGTCCATTGGCATCTCATGGGACTGAGAGTGAAATACATCTTGTATTGTGATCTGGGATACATGTGCACAGGCACGCATGCGTGCACTCCCTAAACAACAGCTTTGCTACACACAATGCTCTCTGACATTTAAACTCTATTCTATTCATTTAAGAAAGAGCTGCGGGCTCCAATTCACTACACTGTTTTCACAAGTTTGAAAATACAGAGCTCCCTAATTTAGCATGTGATTGGTCTGTAGTAAAGAATTTGTGCCAGAATGTAGTCACTGCTTCATTCATAAAATCTTGCTAGAAAATAAACTGAGTGGAAACAAACAGTATACTTTGTGACGCAGCTGATCTATATTCTGCCATCAGATCCTCTGGCTCTCACTGGGCCAGACACAAATAACCTGACAGGTACCTGTCCATTGGCAACTCTGACAGTACAGCTCTAATCCATCTTGCTAATCTTGTATTTTTACAGCATAATTTTGGTAGTTGTCTTCCTGGCTCAAAAATCTTTGGTGGTTCTTCCTACCTGTCATTTAGTTGCTTGACATGACATGACCCTGACTTACTTAATTCCTGATTATCCCCAACCTATATTGGGGAAACCTATATTGCACTCAAATCCAGCTCCCCAGCCCTTTGCCCTGTCTGGAGTTCTCAGATCCTGCCTGTTGGAATCTGTGGCTCAAAAGCCACCTTCCCTGTCCCGAGAATCTTAGCCTTGCTCAGTGATTGAGACATCACTGAAGCATCAGTGGGCCAAGCTCAGGCACGCTGAGGTCCCTTTTTTCCTGGTGGTCAGCTCCTCTAGGGAGGGCCTGCATCTTACTCATCTTTGTCCTTGACCTCCCCTTGCCTGACACAGCAGGTGTCAGAGGATCCGTCATCTCACATCAGGTGAGGGAGGAAGGTGTGAGAGCAGGAGGCTCATCCCTTCAGTGGTCAATAGCACCTGCCCTGTGATCCACTTGTGCAGTTCATGCCCCATGCTGTCCCCCACTGTGTCCTCCCTTCCAGCCACTCCTCCCTGGCCTGTACCCACACGCACCCTCAGTGCCCACTGCCCGGAGTGGGTGCACATTGTGCTTGTAGACAAACTTCTCCTCTAGCACCATCTGGATGGCAACGATGACCTGGGCCATGATGATCAACAGGTCCCCTGTTGAAAGAAAGCCAGGTGAAACCAGGGCTGCTCCGGGGCTAGGTCAGGAGGTGATGACAGAAGGGCCCCAAGGACATGACGTGCTAGCTCCTGACTTTGCAAGCCCAATATAGTTCACTAGGCTTAGTCATAACTACCTGTGCCTGATTCCCTGGCCCCTGATGGGCAGGATAGGCCAGCCAAGCAGGGCTGAGACTCCAGAAAGCCCAGAGACGTACCTGAGAGCTGCATCCCAGGAAAGCAGGTCTCTTATGGAGCAACAGGTTTGAGACAGCTGTTTTTGGCTTAATCCTGACTCTGAGTGACCCAGAGCAGACACTTCACTATAAAATGGGCTGTGATGGCTCGCTCTGGAGATGTGGCAGGGCTCCTGTGATGCGGATGGCACAGAGCTCAGTGTCATGCTGGGCATGTGTAAGTGCTCAGTGAGAGGTCTCTGTTCCTGTCCCTGTCCAGCAGTTTGTGATTATGCATCACAACACAGGACAGCCCCTTCCTTGGGTCTCTTGCTCCTCTTGTGYTACTTGCCACTCTTCCTTAGTGAATTATACCCCAATCCGGTCTCCTCCACACTGACTAATCCATTGAGAGCAGCTGTGTGCCCTTATCCAGTTCCTGCATGTGGCAGAGCTTGTATAAGTCTGAGGGACAACCATGTTGGGCTCCCTGGGGAAGGTATGATAGGACATACCTGTGATCACTTCGCTGAGCTTGTGCTGATTGTCTTGCTTGCTCAGAAGGTCAGCCAGGCCCACTACCACCAGTCCAGCGATGGTGGCCAGGATGCCCAGCCACTGGCTTGGCACCAGCCTTCGGCCCAGAAAGGCCACTGAGAACAGGCCTGTGAATATGATCACTGCACCCCGCAGCATCTGGAAGCTAGAGGCACTGGTCATGTTCAGGGCTAGACAATGAGAGACAAGACTGTTAGCTCCTGAGGGCCAAGGCTACCTGCCACTGAGGGGTTTTCAGGGTTGGAGAAAAGCTGAGCACATAGCAAGTGCTCAATAAATCTTGCTTTGTGTGTGTGTGTGTGTAAACGCACATGTGTGTGCACATGCAAGTGCATGTGAAAAGTTTGTGGCAGAACAGCAGGGTAGGGTGGGGGTGGCTGTTTGACCAGGGACCCCTTCAGACCATAGCCTTCACTGAGCCTTCTTGACCTGGCTACTCACCCACATACATGAGGCTGGTTCCTGTCATGTCACAGAGGGCTGGAGGCAGGAAAAGAAGGGGATTGAAGGGCTGCTGGGGATCCACACTGGAGACTGACTGCCCTGTGGCTCTGCACTGGAGCAGGTAGAAGGCAGCCAGGCAGGAGAACTCTCCCAAGAACATGCCCACTGCCTGCAGGGATGAGAACCCACAGACTTAGCACTGAAGGGAACTAGGGGACCACCAGTAGCAGTATTGTTTTTTTATGTAATCTTTCTTCAAATAGGAGGTTACCTAGAACCCCAAACTGWCAAACCAATAAAAAAAAAGTTGTTGTGGGGCTCTTAAAATACCCTAAGACTGTGGTAACCTGTGTGAAGATCATTCATCCAGGCCAACTCCTTGTGAAGTTCCAGGTGAAGAAACAGGCCCAGACAGGTTCAAAGACTGATGGAAGGCCACTAAGCAAACTGCTAACAGACTGGGGCTGAAATCTGAGTCTCCCAACCCCCAGTCCAATTTGGGGTATCTTCCAATAATGAGGTCTACCCTGACCCAGTAGTATTCTGGGCTCCTGGAGGATGGAAAACGGGCTTCTTTCCATGTGTTCTGACTGGACATGGTGAAGACTCATGTAGGCCTCCTATAGGACTGTGCCCTCTGCTTGCTTCCAGGATTACCCTTAGATCCTGGCCCTGCTCTAGGGGAGGAAAAAGCAGGGGAGCTCCATCCCTAGGCCAGGAAACAGCCTAGCTTCAAGGGTGCTGGTCTGAGGCCTGGGAGATGGTGGAAGGGCCAGAGCCCGTACCTGGAGGAAGGGATGCTGGAAGCTGTGCTCTGCGGTCCCTCCGCAGCCCTCGGCTATGAAGTTGTCTGCCCACCTGCAGCAAAAAGGAAAGGTCAGACCCTGGCAGTATGGCAGGACTCTCTGCCAGCCTGATGCCTGTGGAGGGCCTTGTTCCTCCCAGGGCCAGGATGTCCAGACTGAGAGCCTCAGCCTCAGGTGGGACTCCCAAAGGGGCTGGTCTCCATAGAAAGTGGTTTTAACCATTTTCTCAACTTATAAACATGGGATTACAGTACCTATACCTTTGTAACTCCTAGAAATCAGATATTAGGGCTACTGTACATATGGTGAAATATGATTTACATTCATYGCTCATCAAAATAAATTATATTCATTACTTGAAATTTAACGTATTAAGGAAGTCAGRCCTGATCCAACATGATGAAGATTGGGGCCTACTTTTTCCTCTATTAAGCACAGGGTCTCTGATCTAATTCCAAGGTCCTTGATCCACTTTTGAGTTGAGTTTTGTGCATGGTGGGAGATAGGGGCTTATTTTCATCTTACTGCATATGGATTTCCAGTTCTCCTAGCACCATTTGTTGAAGAGGCTATCTTTTCACTAATGTGTTTTGGGTACTTTTGTCTAGTATGAGGTAACTGTATTTAYGTGGTTCTGTCTCCTWGTCTTCTCTTCTGTACCATTGGTCTACATGTCTATTTTGGTGCCAATACCATGCCATTTTTTGTTACAACAGCTTTGCAGTATAGTTTAAGGTCTGGTATTGTGATGCCTCCTGCTTCACTCTTCTTGCTAAGGATTGCTTTGGCTACTGGGTCTCTTTATTTTTTCAAATGAATTTCATGATTGCTTTTTCTATTTCTATAAGGAATGACATTGGGATTTTAATTGGAATAACATTGAATCTGTATAGTGCTTTGGGTAGTATTGCCATTTTGACAATATTAATTTTGCCTATCCAAGAGCATGGGAGATCTTTCCATCTTCTTCTAAGGTCTTCTTCAATTTCTTTCTTTAGTGTTCTGTAGTTTTCATTGTAGAGGTCTTTCACTTCTTTTGTTGATTCCCAGGTATTTTATTTTTTGAGGCTATTGTGAATGGGGTAGTTTTTCTAATTTCACTTTCAGAGGATTCATCACTGATGTATAGAAATACACTTGATTTACAGGTATTGATTTTATATCCTGCTACTTTGCTGAATTCATTTATTAATTCTAGAAGTTTCCTGGTGGAGCTTTTTTGGTCCTCTAAGTATAGAATCATGTCATCAGCAAATAATGATAGTTGAGTTCTTCTTTTCCTATCTGTATCCCTTTAATTTCTTTTGTCTAATTGCTGTGGCTATAGTTTCAAGGACTATGTTGAACAGAAGTGGTGAAAAAGGACATCCCTGTCTTGTTCCGGTTTTAGAGGGAATGCTTCCAATTTTTCTCCATTTAGAATGATGCTGGCCTTGGGTTTAGCATAGATAGCTTTTACAATTTTGAGGTATGTTCCTATGATCCCTAGTTTTTCTAGTGTTGTGAACATGAAAGGGTGTTGTATTTTGCTTTCTCTGTATCAATTGATATAATTATGATTCTTATCTTTAAGTCTATTGATGTGATGAATTATATTTATTGATTTCAGTATGTTGAACCAAMCTTGCATCCATGGGATGAMTCCCACTTGATTATGGTGCACTATTTTTTAAAAAATATGTTTTTGTATGTGATTTGCCAGAATTTTATTGAGAATTTTTACATCAATGTTCTTCAGGGATAATGGTCTGAAATTTTCTTTCCTTGATGTGTCTCTACCTG